GCGATGGCCTTCAACCTAATCGCGATGGCCTCCCACCTACTAGCGAGTTCTACAGCAATTGTACCTTGGGTGATACGATCATGATACAGTGAAATGCAATGTAATGCCGTATTGTGTCTTGTCTTGTCGGACCACAAATCACAATCAAGAGGTGCTGGGAAGTTAAGAGCAATGGGTCTGGCAGAACCTGAAGGACAACTAATATTGCTCACTGTTCCACAGCGGATTAGGTGGATATTGATAAGAGCCATATTAGGAGAAGTACACTCCCTGAAAAAAACATGAATATTGACATAGGCCCGTTGGAAGACACGTTTTCTCTACATTTCTCTACAAAACCGGTGGTGACGTCCATGTTAATGAACACACAAACATCACCAAACAACTAAAACGGCTTAACATCATTTAAACAACTTAAAACTTTGAACAAACAGCTTAAACAGCTCAAATAGCTTAAAACCTGGAAGCTTCCCAGAAAACCAGCTCTCTTGAAAACGGTGGAGTACCGACATTTACCGAGGGAGCCGGAGAATCGAGCAGCATCTTCCAGTGCACCTGCCGTGTGGGATTCACCTGCCCAGTTCTCCAAAACCCAAAAAGCATCAGCCCCCCCATTTTTTCCCGAATGCGTAGCGAAGGGTTCTCGTTTAACTCTTGGGGGTCTGGGGGTAGAGCCTTGTTCGCGACCCGTTGTTTCTAAGTTCGCAACCGTCCGCAACCGTTCGCAGTAGAGCGCTAAGGCGCTGCCATTGGGGGATGCTTTTGCAAGTGACTTTTCATGGATGTGTCACGTGTCAGTTTGCGCCGCTATTCCATTGTGATTTGCATGAAAATGACACGCCGCGCAAGAAACCAAATGCGTTTCGCTGCACAGGCGCAGCGTTTTGTGAGATCTGCAGATTGCTGCGCAGTTCCATTGTGATTAGCGTTTGGAGAGTCGTGTTTTTGGGGTGTTGGATGTGGCTGTGCCATTGGGATTTGCGTTTCAGGGTGTGGCATCGAAGCTCTGTTTTCGTGACAAGTCTTAGCTGAAATGCCGATTTTGGTGGATGGGAGTGTGCTCAGAACGGGTCGAAATCATTCCAAACGTGTGGTGTGGTGCAAATTTTGTTGAAGCTCACATGAGCCGATATTGTCACTTTTCGTGGCAGGCGCAGTACTTTGTGCGGCTTTTTTGAGGTGTGGAAGTGCGATTCTCGTGGCAGGCGCAGGGAATCGTGAGGTTGCGAGGTGTGACGGAGGTGACATTTCGTGGCAGGCGCAGTACTTTGTGTGCGTTAGACGTGTGGACGCGGAAAGATTCGTGGCAGGCGCAGGGAATCGGGAGGTTGTGAGTTGTGGTAGAGGTGAATGTCGCTGTCACATTGGGATTGGCGTGTGAGCGGGTGTCATTTGGAGGGGCTGGAATCGCGAAACTGCTTGGCAGGGCTGCGTGATGTGTGTGCTCCGATGGGTGTTTCCGCTGGACTTTTGGAGGAAGTCTCGTGCGAAACGTTCGTTTTGCAGACTTTGACATGTGAGTTTTTGAGCAAGTCTCGTACAAAACGCTCGTTTTGGGGACTTGACATGTGACTTTTGGAGGAAGTCTCGTACGAAACGCTCGTTTTGGAGACTTGACGTGTGACTTTTGGAGGAAGTCTCGTACGAAACGCTCGTTTTTGAGACTTGACGCGTGACTTTTGGAGGAAGTCTCGTACGAAAAGCTCGTCTAGCAGAGTGTCCCACAAGAGTGTCCCACAAGAGTGTCCTGCAAGAGTGTCCCACACGAGTATCCCACAAGAGTGTCCTACAGGAGTGTCCCACAAGAGTGTCCCACAAGAGTTTCCTACAAGGGCGTCCGACAAGAGTGTCCCACAAGAGTGCCCTACAAGAGTGTCCCACAAGAGTGTCCTACAAGAGTGTCCCACAAGAGTTTCCTACAAGAGTGTGTCCCACAAGAGTGTCCCACAAGAGTGTCCCACAAGAGTGTCCTGCAAGAGTGTCCCACGAGAGTGTCCTGCAAGAGTGTCCCACAAGAGTGTCCCACAAGAGTGTCCCAAATGAGTTAGCCACAGGAGTGTCCCACAAGAGTGTCCCTTAAGAGTGTCCCACAAGAGTGTCCCGCAACAGTGTCCCACAAGAGTGTAGGTAAGAGCTTCCTACAAGAGTGTCCCGCAAGAGTGTCCTACAGGAGTATCCCACAAGAGTGTCCTACAAGAGTGTCCCACAAGAGTGTCCTACAACAGTGTCCTACAAGAGTGTCCCACAAGAGTGTCCCGCAAGAGTGTCCCAAATGAGTTTCCCACAGGAGTGTCCCACAAGAGTGTCCCGCAACAGTGTCCCGCAAGAGTGTCTCACAAGAGTGTCCCTTAAGAGTGTCCCACAAGAGTGTCCCACAAGAGTGTCCCGCAAGAGTGTCCCAAATGAGTGTCCCACAGGAGTGTCCCACAAGAGTGTCGCGCAACAGTGTCCCGCAAGAGTGTCTCACAAGAGTGTCCCTTAAGAGTGTCCTGCAAGAGTGTCCCGCAACAGTGTCCCACAAGAGTGTCCGACAAGAGTGTCCCACAAGAGTTTCCTACAAGAGTGTCCCACAAGAGTGTCCCACAAGAGTATCCCACAAGAGTGTCCTACAGGAGTGTCCTACAAGAGTGTCCTACAAGAGTTTCCTACAAGAGTGTCCCACAAGAGTGTCCCACAAGAGTGTCGCACAAGAGTGTCCCTTAAGAGTGTCCCACAAGAGTGTCCCACAAGAGTGTCCCGTAAGAGTGTCCCACAAGAGTTTCCTACAAGAGTGACCCACAAGAGTGTCCTACAAGAGTGTCATTTGGACATATGTAGCTTTTCGAACGTGTTTGCATTCGGGTTCGTGGGCTCCACCTTGTTTTCCATTGCACAAGCCGAAAGATCGAAGTCTGTGGCCGCGTGGCATGAATTACAAATTATGTGTGCACATGGTCGGCTCCACCTGCACAAAAATCCGGACCCCTCTCTGCGTTCTCATTGAATGAACCCTTTAGGTTCTCAATGACATCAAGGAACCAAGCAGGCATGGGTTGTCCGGTTCCAGCCTCGGGCTGCGATCGAACAAAGATGTCAGCCGGAGCTGCACATAGTGCAGGTGGATACTCCTTCAAGACAGCTGTCTTGAAGCTTCCGTCCTCACCGACTCCAATTGAAGCCGTCTTTGGGACTTGAGAAACTCTACCTTGCAACAAAAGTTGTTCTGCCTCACTGGACACATTGACAAGGAAGAGGTCTGTGGGTTTAGCTGAAAGACCGTGATAATGGCCTTGCAAGACAGTAGTTTTTCTGCAGACTGGAAAGCGCAAAAGAAAGCGTGCAATCCACGTTCTCCAAATGGACGGATGCAGAAGGTCACCGTCAATCTCAGCAGCGTGTTCAATGATGGCCGAAGCCCCTGCGCACAAGGCCGCAACAGTCAATCGCCAGGTGATCGCCAAGAGACGGTTGCCGAAACTCACCTGCTTGTGTTCTCGATACGTAAGTGATCGTAGACCACATGGACGTCCGATCTCACGTACAGGTCGAGGGTATCGTTTTCCGTCAAGCTGGTTCTGGCGTGCCCTCGACCAGGTTTCACATGGGGGGCCCGCCAGAAAACCGACCAGGAGTCCTTCTGCCAGGGCCCGCATGAACAACGACAGGGTATCCTCATTGGACAAATCACCAAGGGTCACATGGAAGATAATATCAATGGAAAGCATTGTAGCTCCCCTCGCTTCAATCATTTCTTGGACATCTCCTGGGCGCCTACGGCCCGAAAACAAATGTGCAAAGATTCGTTGACTGAAACGTGGGGTTCTTGGAACTCTGAATGGGATCCGTCCAAGCAGTGCAGCCTCCTTTGCAAAAAATTGCATAACCTGGACTCTCTCTTCAATGCATACGCCAGTACCGGCCAGAAACCATTCAGCTGAAATGTTGTCAATGTAAGCCGCAAAAGTACGAAGATGCTCCAAGGTGGCCCATTCGTTGTCTCCTGACCAAGTGTGACTCCATTCTCAAAAAGCTCGAGCGAGTTCACTGGGTGTAAGAATGGCAGTCAATGATGCCTTTCTCAATTCTTCCAGCAGCTCCGCAACCCTGGTTCGGTAGGTCGCACAAGTTGAGGTCCAGCAGAGTCGAAGCCTAGCCACCTCTTGGTCATAGAAAGGATCAACGTCTGGGCCACTAGGGGCCAGAGGGCGAGGGCCCTCACTCTGTAGAAACGGCAGTGTCAGGCTTGGCCTTCCAGCGACAGCGTCCCGGCTGTTGACCCCAGCTTCCGCCTCCACAATCTGGCCTCTTTGTTGATAGAATCCCCTGCATGTAGCTTTGCGGTTTACATGATTGATGAGGTTGAGATGTGTGTGGTATTCTTTGAGACACGCCTCACAACATGTTCCTTGCACGAAGTAGCGGGCGAGGGTCAATCTCTGATGCTTCTTGAATTGATGCACCGCCAACGCAGCTGCCGTCTTGAACTTTTGTCTGCAAGCAATGCAGAAAAATTCCTGCAGTCCACATCTGGGAACATGGTGGGAAGGAATGAGTCGATGGTCAGCAAGCTCTCTGAAGATATGGGAGTGCCAAGCCTCCCATTCAAACACTCTTTCTTGATCCGCAAGGGCCCTGGCTCTTGCTCTGGCAATCGTCCGTTTCCATGCTTTGGAGCTGTGACAGTCGTTGCAGAATCTTGGCCAATCGAAAGGCTCGTCAAGACTTAGCTGTAGCTCCGGGCACAGTTCAGCTAACCAGAGAAGGTCCTTCTTGATCTGGAACCACCAATGCTTTTCAAGCTGGACAAGCCCCCATAGGTGTGGCTGTCCAAGTCTGGCCAAATACTGGATGTACCTCAGCCGTTCCAAGATCAGCGTCGTTTCCAGGTCGGGAAGGTGCAACAGGACACATGTCTTCTTCCAAGACCAATCCAGTGCTATTTGGCCAATATGAGCTATAGCCAGCCTCTTATATAGCTTGTGTAGTCCAGCCTGTGCCTGGTGCTTTTGCCTCTTAGAAACCAGCATCCAGGTTGCCGAGTTGTAAAAGATAGCACTGAGCACCAAGGACCGGAAGTATTGCACCTTGACGCGCAAAGGCATCTGCTTATTACAGAACAGCTGAGACTTGAACTTCGTCATGGTCTGATGTGCTGTGCCATACTTAGCTGCCAAATCTCGTCGAAGGGCAGTTCCACTTTGCAAAACGGTGCCGAGGTGTCGGTAGAAACCAACGATTCGCAGCTGACCGGTCACAGCCAGCCCCGTAACAGGTATAGTGTTTCCCCATTCGACAAGCACCCGTCGTGCCTTGGGTGCTAACCCGGCACTAGCAAGAACGTTGAAAAGGCATCCAGCCACTTGAGGAAGCAGGTGGAGCATGTCTGATGGCAAATCCGTCCAAAGTGCGACAGCAAGATCGTCAGCCCAAATGGGCATCAGGAGGCCTAACTGGCATGACAAATGGACCGCTTCTGGCTCAGACTGTCCACTCCATGGCAAACCTAAATGTGGGTATTTGCTGAGTATCGAGTGCTCTGCTTTCTGGAGAATCTTTGCGAAAGCGAATGCAAAGCAAACATCGGCAAAACAGTCACCTGGACGGGAACCACGTCTTGCCCATGTAAGTGAATCGGCTCCTGGCACCTGAAACCATGTAGCAGACAAAAACTCTCCAAAAAGCGATTTGAGGAAGGCAGGCGCATTAGAAGCTTCTAAGGCAGGTCTCTGCGCAAGGTGGCTCTGAAACTCTACATGTGCCTCTTCCGGGAGGCCGAGTTGTTGGAAAAGCGCCCCAGTAGATCGGCTATCATCACCCACTGTTACAATATGGTGTCGGATGAGACGGTAAAACGCATTGGCAATATCTACAAATAGCCATGCTGTACTTTTGTTGCCGGCACCATGCCTGGAACAGAATGAGGGAGTGCGAAGCTTGAACAATGGAATGTCCTTTCACGCCACCAATTTGCATAGGCAAACGAAGCTCTTCCAGCACCGGTCCAAGTTTCTGCCTATAGAGGCTGTGTAGGACCTTGCCCAACATACTCGAAACAAATAACGACCGGTGATTGTTGCACAACGATGGGTCACCCTTTTTGTGGGCAGGCGCAAGGCGCCCACCTTTAAAAAGAAGGGCCTCACGTTGATATGCAGCCTCCTTCAAGTAAAGGGGGTAGACGATCTGAGCCATAGTCTCCGGAATGAGATGGCATAACTCCCCAGGCACTCCGTCGAGAAAGAATGCTTTGTCGAACTTGCAAACTCTCAGATGCCGCTCAATTTGCAATAACGTGGGGAGGTCCGTCCATTGTGGGAGAACCCAGGCAGAGCGGTCTCTCTCATCACAGAAATCCATAAGCTCTTCCGCAGTCACCTCAATACCATCTTCCTGCTCCGAAAAATGCTCTCGCCATCGGTTGGCGATCTCTTTTGCAGAAAGCAGCAGTTCCCCTTCTTTATTTCGAATCATCGGAAGGGGTTGCAGGCCTGTTGGCCTCCGTCGGCTGTGTACCCCTGCAGCTTGCATGGCCTTGACAAACTGGATGTAAGGCAACTGAGTGGCCTTCTGTCCAAGCTGTATGAGTTGAGAGTTGCGGTCAGAGCGTAATTGGCTGGAGAGTCTCTTGGTGAGTACATTGGACTGCTTGCGGAGTGCTTGACATTTAAACAAGCTGATTAAAAGTTCTCGGAAAAGGCTCTTGGTAGAAGACCCCATCCCCGTTTTCCAGCTAACAAAACTGTATCTAATGGTCAGGAGGATGGTCTCATGCTTTAAGGCAGAGAATTGCCTACGGAGAGCAATCCTCGCGCTCCGAGTGCTCCACGTAGTCTCAGAAATATAAGCCCTTTTCGGCTTAACCTTTCCCTTAGGGAAAGCTCCACACAGAGTCTTCTCAAGCCACGTGGTAAGCAGTGTAGCGTGTGTGTCAATATCTTCGTCCCATGGCACCGGGATCGTCCTGCTGACCCATGAAGGCCTGAATGGCATTTGTCGCGGATAACGCCCTTCTGGAGGAAATGAACCGCAGGGCGAGTCAAGAATTGAGAGGCCATCGCATGAAGCTCGAAAAGGCGCTCCTTCAGACCTTCCCGCACTGGCTGAATCATCTGTACTGTCACCACACGAGGATTTCCCTTCCTCTTCTCTTCTTCTACATCCTCTCGGAGTTGCTGCCAGACAAGATCTCGCATAGCACTGCCAACTTTCGCGAGACTCTCCGCAGAGCAGCTCTCGAGATGATCCAGTGCATGAATCCCCTCTCCTAGCTCTTGGAAAACATCGGGGTTGGAGTCCTGGAGCTTCACCAAGGCTCTCAGCAAATGGTATCTCGTCTCCATTGCCTCTCCACCAGAACGACAAGGAAAGTCCCGAGTGGCAGAACCGCCCACGGAGCCATACAACCAACTCAAGAGGCGCTCGGGGAGATCTGTCAGAGCCACATGTTCCTTGGCAGTCTTTCGTGGCTTCGACATTGACTCCACATGCTGACAAGCCTGGTTTAGAGGGCGAGATAGGAAACCTTCCATCTCCGCCCAACCTGAGACACACGACCAACCACTGAGTGCATCTTCCCAAAAGGGGTACTTCTCTTTTAGGTCGTCTCCTGTCAAGCGCGGAAGCCTCTCTGCGAGCTCCTTGTTCGCTGCGGTCTCGGCCATAAAATGCCAAACACGGTACAGCCAGAACGCGTAAGGGCGTCTTCCACCGTCGCTCGCGGCAGCGGCCTCACGCTGCAGGGCGCCACGAGGTCGTCCACCAGGCAGGTCTTCCGGTCGTCGCCCTGGGAGCGGACGTGCTCCGCGGTCGAAGAGGAACCCGGAATTGGCTCCGTTCGTCCGCCCGATGGGCCAGGGGTGGATGCCAGGGGGGGTCTAACCACCGAAGCTGAGGATATGGGCCAGGAGTCCTAAGGGAAAAGCAACCAAAAGCCATGACGTCTCAGCAGGAGTTTAGATCGGAGGATCGGAGGATCATGATGTTGCCAAGTATAGCCCATTTGGGATCTCAGGTTCGGTACCACTGGACCCTTCAAAGTTATATAACAGTGTCGAACACATCGCCGTACCTGAGAAGGTACGATGCATGATATAAACGAAATTCATGAAATTCCCAAAAGATCTGCCCAAAGTTTCAACCCCCCCTTCGTTCAGCTGGAGATCGTCAGCAACCCCAACATACCCCCAACATACCTGGACCCTCATTCAGGCTCAAATTTCTGCCTGTTCAAGAAAATCTGCCTGAACCAGGGTTTGTCCTTAAAAACCGCCTGCGGGCAGAAATCCTTGTTCGGGCAGATGCTGCAAATTACTTGCAAAGCACCTAAGTTGCAAATCTGCAGTTTTGAAGCAATGTTCGACATTTCAATTCGGGCGAGAGTCGGCGTGATTCGGGCGTGAATTTTTGTGATCGGGCGAGAATTTGTGTGATCGGGTGGATTTCGTAGACTCAAGTTGCTTTGCATGTATTCATCACTCGCAGAATATATATAATGAGCAAAAACACATTCGGGCGAGAATTCCAGGGTCGGGCGTGAAAACCATGTTCGGGCAGAAATACTGCCTGAATGGATTCGGGCTGGAATTCTAGCCTGGACGAGTTCCTAGGTATCCCAAACCCCTCTGAACTCTGTAGATCGTGTCACCAGCCGCACCACGCCCGCACCGCACCGCGGACCGCACCGCGGACCGCCTCGGTGGGCCGTTGCTCGAAGAGTGACAACGAAAGGATGGCCTCGCCCTGCGCGGCGATGGGCATCGCAGGGCGATGGGGGGGGTGGCCTGGCAGATCTCCCACATGCCACACAACACATGTATACACATCTACATGTCACGTATCAAGACATCTCAATTATTAAATATTTAAGAGTATAACATAACTAGTATTAATATTAACACCCATTATGTAAGCAAACATATGCAAAGAAATAAGTCACAAAATATAGTGAGTAGTACATATTCTGCGATACATCACATACAAACAAACAAACAAACAAACAAACATATTCTATGCAAATTGGAGCATTCATAACATGTGAAATCATGTAAATCGAGTGGGTTCCAAAGCCAAAGTATCACAAACGCCCCTTCCAAGGGCCTGTGGGTGTTCTCATGATGTTCGACTGACCTTTAGGTTAGATCCGCAGAATCAACCACCTTTTAATCTTCGATCGCAAACACTCCATGTACTACTCCATGTATATATGGCATATGGTGCCGCTCAGTTGATCCCTTTTCAATCACCTGACCTGATCGGGAGTCATATGCCAGTCCCATCGCTGCCTGGGTGGGTACATGACTGAAACACACGCGGAAACAAGGAACTCCAGCGCCAAGGAAATACACTCCTTGAACAGAATCATGGTCATGTGAAGTTCACCACCTGGATTGGTAATTATGGTCATACATGGTCACCCGACTTCAAGGCCATGCTATCCACGTAACCATGATGAGTTCAGGGCGTGGATGGGTTTCAGAAACTTCTGTGGCACTCTGTGGGTCCTAAGACCTTCACCTCCACTCACACCGACGCAGCACACCGCGGGAGACGCGGTAAGCGCACGCATCTCACAGAACAAACACCCTCGTGCCCAAAAATTCTGAATGCGGCAAGTCCTTGCGCCCAGCATTTCACCAGTTCGTTGTTCCAAAAACGTGGCCTGGCCTCCTTTTCCTCCGTGCCTGTCCTCTTCTTGGCCTTGTATTCTCAGATTTCCGAACACCCAATGCCCAAAAACGCCCCCACTCTCCACCTTGTCCGCCACACGCGCCACTTCCTTCGTTCATCCTGCGTAGGGTCCCTTCCTGTTCGCCCCGCCTCGAGGGACGCGCCCGCCACTCGCAGGGAGGCTTCGGTGAGACACGCCACCAGGAAGGCGGCCGAGCCGGTCTCGGTGGGCGACACCGAGCCCGTCGGGCCTGGAGATGGAGGACTGAGGTGGGACAGGACCGAGCTTCAGGCTCGAAAATGGGACAGGACCCCCATCCCAAAAAACCAGGTAATATAATCTGGTTTCTAGTGTTTGAAGCAAGCACTTTGAACACCCAGGTGGATTCCACTGGCCAAATTCCATGTGGATCTTCATCCTTTATGGCGAAGAGTTTCGACTCAATTTAAAAGGAAATCCACATTCTTGGCCCATGTTCCATACGCTGAAGGTGGATTCCTATAGCCTATATAGCGATTTCTGTCTGCTGAATCAGCTCAGCCCGCGGGATCTGGCGCCTGCGAAGAGTCTTAATGAGACGGTGCCCAGTTCCACCTGCGCGTTTCGGATGTTCAAGCAGCGCATGAGGTGCCAGTGTCTGGG